ATTTTCAAAACTATACACATACCACGATAACCGAAGAGCACACTAATGAAGGTGTTCACAAATTCAGTGTACATTACCAACTCTCAGATCAAAAATAGCATTTGAGTGTGCAAGAAGTACTTTTCTTAACGCTTGCAAATCACCATTTTCCTCCCTAGAAGTAACTACTATCCTAACTTCTAAAGCCAGAGGTGTTTTGGTGTTTGGTTTTTTGGTATTTCATTTTACACAAAAGGAAACCATTTATAACAATCCCCCTTTTTTCTCAGCATTATTTGTGAGTATTAGTTTTCTCTTGTGAGTGTATCGTTTCCTGTTGCTACAAAGTTAGTAAGATAAAACACCACAAATTTATTCTTACAGTTCTGGAATTCAGAAGTATAAAATGGGTTTCACTAGACCAAATCAAGGGGTCAGCAGGCTTAGTTTCTTCTGGAGGTTCTGAGGGGGAAAATATGCTTTTACCTGTGTTCCAAAGCTTGTGCACGTCTACTTCCAAACCTCCTGCTTCCATTATTTCTAGTCCTTTCCTTAGGTAGTGAATCTCCTTACACTTGGCTCCTCCTGAGTAATCCAGGATCTCAAGATTCTGAATTTAATCACATTGGTTAAGCCTCTTATGCCACTTAACGTAATAGTCCAGGCTCTAGGTATCAGGACCTGGATATCTCCACAGGCCATTCTTCAGCCCCCCACAGTGAGATTTGTCTTCTTGGATGTATTTATAATTAATCTCATTGCTATGCAGATTTTTTGGGTTTTTTTGTTTGTTTTTACATTTTATTGGGAGCTCTTACAGCTCTTATAGCATTCCATACAGTTGTATCAAGCATATATTTTACACCAACCACTGTTCCCTTCACCCATGTTTCTGTTGTTCATCCCCCTGGTTGGGGTAGGTGGGGGTGGTAAATGTGTCCATCATTACACTAGGTTCCCCCTTACTCCCCTCCTTCCCCTTACCCCTCCTTCCCCTCCTGGTATCGCTACTCACATTTCTGTTCCTGAGGGGTTTATCTAACTTGGAGTCCATGTGTCGTAAACGCCTATCTGTGCCTGTGTACATGCTCCAGTCTAGCTAGAACTTTTTTTTCTTATTATATCTAAAATTTATACGTGTGACCGTGGATGAG